ACCTCGTTGTTGGCCGTTCAAATTTTTCTTGTACTTTTTCCTCCGCCGCTGATGGCCCTTCCGCAGTTCGGCGACTTTTGCTGCGGAGAGTTCTGTCGGATGAGTCAATCTTCCGTTTCAAGCCGGGTTATAGTTGCCGTCCTTTCTCCGGTCTTTCACATACGTCGTCCTTCTCCCTCTTCATTCTGGGGGTGTTCGTGAACTCGGTTTTGGACGGGTGGAAGGAACGCTCTTTTCTTTTACCTTCAAATTTTCCGCGGGGGCAATTTTCTTTTCACTTGCTTTGTCTCTCATTGGCTTGCCCTTGTACTTGTCGTTTCCCCCTCTGGAACTTGTACCTGCGGTGTCTGCCGTACCGGATCCTGCAAAAGATTGAAAGATTTGCATTTTATTACGATCATAGTAGGGTTTGATTTGGTCAATGTTTGCGGAACAGGTTTTCACCATTTCTGCCTTTAAACACTACAGCGTGAGTTTTTTTTCTATAACATATGGTCCTTCAAATCGGGAAAAAATTTGGCAGTTTTTATCTTCTGGTGCTGAAGAAAGTGAATGCTTAATTTTTAAAACTTCATCCCCTACTTTATAAGTTACTCCCCGTTTCAGTCATAATTTTTTGTTTCTCTGTGCTACTTGTATTCTTTTTGCTTCTTTATTAGTTTTTCTATATCACCCATTTAATTCTGGGGCTCTTGTTGCACATAAAATAGTTTATCTAACGGTGTTATAATCTTTCTGCCTAGAAATAACTCAGCAGGAGTTTTGCCCGTTGTATCATGTTTTGCGGTCCTAAGGGCGAAAGAAAATTCTTGACATAGTTACCCAGCTTTTATGAAAATTTTAACATAACTACGGATAATTTTCACTATATTTCGTTGACCCGTTCGCTATATGATTGCGGCCGATACGGGACCATTTTTAAATGACGTATGCCCAGTTTTGGCACATGTCTTCAAATATATTACTTACAAATTGAGGACCATTATCCGATATAACTTTTAGGGGCGCCCGTATTTTAAAATATATTTATTTAAAATAGAATCGGTAACTAATTCGCGGAGGCTCGTTTTAAGGGAACAATTTCGGTCCATTACTAAAATGATCAACCATAACAAGGAGATAGCGACTTTTGTTTAACGACTTTTTGGGAAAGGGCCCAATAAATCGATGCCAATTATTTCATTGGAAATTCGGATTTAATACTATTTAGAAAACCCGGCCGGGCGGAAAATTAATATAATTAAGGCTTGACATGTTGGGCAGGACTGGACATACGCCCTTGTTAACTTTTGCAGTTTCAGGAAAGTAGACTGCCCTCGCGTACGCGTTGAGTAGTTTTTCGAATACCAGCATGAGAAAGCTAAAAGGGCTGTCATGGAGCTCTTGCAGGATATTTAATCTAAGACTAGCTGGGATAACAGGTCGAAATTCGTTGTTGGAATTCGTAGTTTTTGTATAAATAATAGACCATCTATTAGTTCGTAATGGGCCGCCCTATTCTTATCGCCACAATATCTGGTGGCTAAAATTTTCAGGATCCTTCAAATACTCATAAAATACTTCCAAACTCAGGATCCTTACCCAGTTCGGTTATTACAGTTTCTCGGGAATTTATTGTACACGCTGTCAGCATTGGCAACTTTACGTATACCATGTTCGTCTAATTTAATTCGTGATAGGGCATCTGCTACGATATTTCCTTTCCGGGGGTATGCTTGATTACCAGATTATATTCTTGCAGCTTGAGTGCCCATCTTATAACCTTGGGGATAAATTTTTTCCAGAGTACAATCTAGTTACCGCCGCATGATCAGAATATACTGTTATCGGCGCCTTTCCAAAATAGACTCGGAAACTTTGCACTGCTAACAGAAACTGCAAGTGCCTCTCTCTCGGTCGCGGAATAGTTTCTTTGTGTTTGATTTAAGTTCGGCTAAAAAAATGCACTGGCTGCTGATTTTGCGAAAGTACCGCTCCTACCGCATAATATCCGAAGCATCCGCTGAAATTTCTAAATTTTCATCCTTTTCAGGAAATTTCAACACAGGGGCTTGCGTTTAATGCTTGTTTAATTTTTCGAAAGCACTATTGGCTTCGGCCGTCCACGAGAATCTTGCCTTTTCCTTTTTAATTTAACAATGGCTCAGCGATAGCCGCAAAATCTTTTATAAAGGACCTATAATATGAACAAAGTCCTAGAAAAGAAGAGAGCTTCTTGCCGTGTTTGGAGTCGGATACTTTTGTACAGCGATTATTTTTGATTCATCTGTCTCGATCCTTTTGAGATATTTGTAACCTAAATATTTTAATCAGGGGCTGCAAATTTGCATTTTCGACATTAACTTTTAGACCGGCCTCATTTAATAAAGAAAAACACCTGTCTTAAATCTGTACTGTTGGTCTAGATTATCACTAGTAATAATGATATCGTCTAAATAGATAATGTGGACTTTCCGAGAACAGGTCTTAACACAATGTCCATGCATCGCGAAATGTGAGGGCCTGAAAGGCCAAACGGCATTCGCAAAATGCATAAGTGCCAGGACTTGGTTATAAAAGCAGTCTTAGGCACGTCCTCAGGCCTGATCCCTATTTGAAAATAACCATTCGTTAGTCTAAAGTGTCATAAATTTGGTTGATTTTATGTCCTTAAATTTCTTCTATAATCGGTAACGGATATACCGGATATTTCGTTATGGAATTTAATTTCGGTAATCAATAGCGAATCTCCACCTTTTGGATGCTCCAAAGGATAATCATTATTTTTCTTACATAAAAACCACGGCTAGCATAACTACTTGAGATGGGCGTTACGATCTTTTTACGTAGCATATCGGTAATATGCCATTCTATAATTTTTTTCCTTATTCTTATCATACCGGTATGGTTTTGGACGAACCGGCAATGCATCTCCGGTGTCAATACTATGGTTGGTAACCTGGGTAAATCCTGGAATATCACTAAATAAGAAGCAAATTCACTTACCACTTGTCGGATTCTATCTTGCTCGTCATTAGGCAGGTAGTCAAGATTTTACCTGGCGGTTCAACCTTTTCTACACGACTGGTTTCATCGTCAGCTTAAGAGACGCTTCATTAAAATCCAGTGTAGCTTGTGCGTCTGAAAGAAAGTCTATTCCTAGTATTAAGTGTGCTTGCAAAAATTCTTTACTATAAAAACATCACCTTTACTTGTTCGGCCTTGATACGGATGTACAAGGTATTTACCTACGCACTTACATTGTCTCCTTGCGCCGCTAATACTGTTGTATTATCCGCTTATATATGCGGTTTGCGAAAATACTTTCTAAAAAAGAATTCTGCCACACAGGAACACTGCGCGCCGGTATCCAGGAGTGCGGTGGCCGGGATGTTATTTACCAACACTTCAATCTTCGGAAGAGTTAAATTTTTCACCATTACTGTATTTAACTTGTAGGAAGAGGGGTTTTCGTGGCCTTCGATTTCCGCACCCTCTCGTCAGCAGAAATCCGTTTTAGTTTAAATTTTTTTCTTCGGTGCTTTCCTTCTTTCTCCACTGGCCTTGAGACTTTTTCCTGGTTGCTATTGAACTGTCGACGTTCGCCGGCTTTTTGAATGCTCGGGTTTCCTTGCCCACTGATTCGCTTTTTCTCCGTAGCCATGTGCTTGAGTTTGCTGTAGTCTTGGCGTACCAAATTGGTTTCGCTGTTGATATTGGCGTCTTCTTTCGACGTCCGCCGTTCTACTTTCAAACTGGATTGCTAGCTCAAATAATTTTTCCAGTGTAGTCGGATTTCTCAATTAATAAAGTCTTGCACTTGGGGTAGTAACCTCGGCAAAATCACTTGAATTATTTCAGGATTCCGGACGGTTTCCATACAAGAGCTTGAAAACGTGAATTTTTCTTAAAATAAAACCTGGAGAGGTTTCCATTCTTTGTTGATATATATGAAAAGTTCTGTTTCTAATTTCGCACGATCCCTTACAACAGGGAAGGCTTTAGTAGGGCAGTCTTGAAATTTTCGTAGGTATAGGTGGACTTCCTGCTTGACCCCAAGAGACTTCTGCCGATACATTTGAACCAGTTAAGCGCTTGGCCCCTCAAAGCGCTGGTAGCTAAGGTAACTTTTTGAAACTCGTGCACGGGGTAGAGCATGAAGTGGTCATCCAATTTTTCCAAAAAACTGGTTACTGTGAGTTTTCCATTAAAACTTTGCTTCTGTTTTATCGAAGCGCGCATGGTCTGGACAATATACCCAAATCCTTCCAGGGCGGCAGCTGGCATTTCTGGATTCTGAGCTGTTCTGCAGGCAGCACAGGTTCTTCTTGAAACTCGGCCATGGTTATTCTTCGTCGGGCGCCACTATCAGGTTCAATGTTTCTTCTAATTCTGCGGAAACATACAATGACCTGACTAGAACAGAGAGCTTACTAAAGCTATGTTCACTAATGTAGTAAGTGGACAGGATACAACGAAGGTATACAAAACCTTTTATTTTTCTTTATATACAATGACTTCCGTACTCGGAATACAAGGACCCTCCACTCGGGGTCTAACGTAAAAGATATCAAAATAAAACTAAACTCTAATTTAACTTTAGAGATAAGATTGGCCTTATAATAACAGAAAGGTATGTAGCACAGAGACTGTGAACACTACAATACGTTTAATTTATCAAGAGGATTAAAACCTCTGGCCTGGAAGGCAAAGTAGCAACTGCGTAACTTCTAAGGTAAGCGGCCTGCTTCGAACTCACGGCTTCCTCTCTCTTCTGTGGCAAAAAGGCCACACTAACTTGGCGTTCGCCAGACAACTTTGCATAAACTCCTTCACGCTTATAATTCTGGCCGGAAGTAGAAAATAAGAAGTGATAGTAAAGATTTAAAATAAAATAAACGTTAGTAAAACTTAAGCCTTACAAGCTTGTACTGACCATTACTGTATTAAAGAACCACATAGTCTAAAATTGTATGAGCTATTTGACTACTTTCCTTTTATAGCATTTTTGCCATTGTATAATGAATGTTATGTTTCACTATGATTTCAGTAATCTAAAACCTGGCGAAAAAGTAGAGCCTCCTGATGATAATGATAGCCAGCATCATCCAGTATTCACCAAAAGCCTGCAAGGACTGCTGCGATCTAAAATGGAAGCAGGTGTGATTTACTGTTCTTTGTATCATTTCTTTTTAAACATAAAATCTTAAACTTTTGTTGTGTAAACAAAAGTATTGCTTGAAAAGTTTTGTTGAGTATTTACATTAATTTGAAAAGTTTAACCCATTTTTAGTCTTGAGTGCTTAATGTTTGAAATGTGAAATGAATTTATTATATTTTTTATTCAAATAATAATAGAAAATTTGTGTATGTGCACTAATATTGCTAGTAATATTTAGATTTGATTTAAAATGTTCAGTAAAATGTACCTTTCTAAATTAGTTTCTCTTAGTATTTTACTGAGTATAATTATTGAATCTTAAATTATAAAGATTAGCGAAAATTAAAATAATAACTGTACTTTTGTTTTTAGGTGAAGGAACCATTCCGATTGACACAGAGTACAGGTTTCAGAGCTGGGATGCAATTCTCAGAGGAGAGAAACTTCGTACCATGTCTTGCAGTGATAAAATTGCACGTTGGAATGTCTTAGGGCTTCAAGGTGCACTTTTGAGCCATATCATGAAGCCTGTGTACTTGAGCTCAGTTACTCTTGGTATGATATAATTAATTTTCTTAATTTACATGTATTGGAATTTCAGTAGTGACAGTACTGCTCTCGCTCTCTCTCTGTCTCTATATATATACACCAAGATATAAACTAGTGCTCCTTATTTTTACCATACTTTGATGCCTAACCTCAGTATTACAGTACTAATCACAGTAAATGGACCCTCCAACGCAATGTAGCTGTGATGAGTAAAATGATAGCCTTTAAATTGTTGGTCTAAAGTTGATTAGCCACAATATTTTCAAAATAGGAAACAGCAGAGTCATAACTGAAGTACAGATCGAATAACTAGCATCATTATTGGTTACAGTGAAAAATTAAAAAAAAAATCTTAGAACCTCAGAAATGTGAAGGTTGTAGGGATACTTATGTGAACATGATGTGGTTAAATTGAATGCATTGAATGCATACCATGCCTCAAAGTCTGGGACCAGCATTAGGAAAGCAGCAGTGGCTTTGTGCAGAACTTTTGAGTAATTTTTGCAGGGCAGTACTTGAGTGCATGAAAAACAACCTCCAACTGATTTATTTGCTTGATTGGGTTAGCAAGTGCTCTGCCATTCACAGAACTTAAATCTGTATGAGTTCATAATTATAGTGATTTAAGTCTCTATGATTATGATTTAAATCTAAGCTGAAGGAACCACCATGTTATTTATTTCTGAGCTGTTTCAGGGATTCTTCAAGTGTTAGATCCCTCTCTTCAGACCATCACCACAACATGCCCTGCTACTAGTATGATTTCTGCACCATTGGCAACTGGTTGTGCTGGAAACTGCATCACTTATAACTGACAACACCAGTGACATATCACAGGGCAGTAAATATTTCACAAAGGAATCTCTTTTGTATAAGTCATAAGCAACTATTAAAAATGCCAATCCTTGTATATTTTATGCTTCTTAAGTCTTTAGAATATTTATGTTATTTAGATGAACCTAATAAATTTCAGATTAGGAGATCAAATACAAAAGAAAATTAAGCTTGCTAATTTTTTTTTTTTTTTTTAATACAAATACTTTTCTGTACATCATTTAAAGGAGGGAGGCAATTACTAAGCATATTTATCTCATAGCAGCCATTTAACATATGCAGTATTCAAGCAAACATAAGAAGTTTAGTTTTTTCATTAGGCTATTATTATTTCAGACATAAAATATGAGTTTTAGTAAATTTTTTTGTTAATGTACACTGAAGTGACAAAAGTCATGGGATACCTCCTAGTATTTTGTCGGTCCTCCTTTTGCCCGGCAAAGTGCAGCAACTCGACATGGCATGGACTCAACAAGTCGTTGGAAGTCCTGCAGGAATTTCAGCCATGTGCCTTCTATAGACGTCCATTAATTGGAAATTGTTGACGTTGCGGGTTTTGGGCACGAACTGACCTCTCGGATGATGTCATAAATGTTCAGTGGGTTCATGTCGGGCAATCTAGGGGGCCAGATCATTCGCTGGAACTGTCCCGAAGGTTCTTCTAACCAATCGCGAACAATTGTGGCCGGTGACATGCGCATTGTCATCCATAAAAATCCCATCGTTGTTTGAGTATGTGAAGTCCATGAATGGCTATAAGTGATCTCCAAGTAGCTGAAGGTACCATTCAGTCAATGATCGGTCAGTTACAGCAGAGGACCGAGTTCCTGCATGTAAATAAAGCCAAGACATTAGAACCACCACCAGCTGAACAGTGCCTTGTTGACAACTTGGGTCCATGGTCGTGGGGTCTGCACCACACTCAAACCTACCATCAGCTCTACCAACTGAAATCGTGATCATTGACCAAGCCACGGTTTCAATTCATTAGGGACCAACTGATATGCTCACGAGCCACGAGAGTCGCTGAGGCGATGTTGTGCTGTCAGAAAGGCATCGAGTCGGTCTCTGCTGGCATAGCCCAAGGAAGACAAATTTTGCGCACTGTCCATTGGACATGTCCCTCGTACGTCCCACATTGATTTCGGGGTTATTTGACACAGTGTTGCTTGTCTGTGAACATTGACAAATCGATGCAGACGTCGATGGTCTCGGCGTTAAGTGCAGGGGTCGGCCACGCGCTGTCCATGGTGGGATATATGCCTGAAATTAGAACTTGGCACACTCTTGCACTGGGATCAGAATGTTAAATTCCCATGAATCCGAAATGGAATGATCCATGGTCTAGTCCAACTACCATTCGCTTTCAAAGTCTGTTATTCTCGTCGTGCGGCCATAATCATGTCAAAGCCTCTTCACGTGAATAACTTGAACACAAATGAAAGCCCTGCCAAAGCACTTCGCATTTATACATTTTCTACGCGATACTACTGCCATCTGTATATTTGCATATTGCTATCCCATGACTTTTGTCACTTCAATGTATACCTGTTTGAAAATGCAGTGATATTTGCAAATCGACAGTTAATGAAGAAGTGAAATATTAAATGTGAAAAGAAATTAGTTGCTTTTTTAAAATGTCAGATTTCGTTAATTTCTGAAGGACCATCAAGTTTTTACTTTTTTTTGAAAAATTTTAATAACTATACACAGGTAAATTTTGTGTATTTGAAAATTTTAAAGCATGTCCATATGTCAGTAATTGTAATGTATTTTTAGTTTTCTGCAGGAATTTATAATTTTGTCCTATCTTAGACATTTATGAACTACCATTTTATTTAATGTTTTTGTAAAAAATATTGTAGTTGAAATTCTAAATTGCTTTCTTTAACATTTTCTTTTTTTGACATAATTGTGCCTTACAATAATAAGTGTTCAGAAGATAAGCATAACAGCAACAGCCTGTCTATCTGAAATGCTTCTGAAATACCAAATGCCAGATAGATGAAGAATCTTGATAATTGAACATATAAAAAGTGCAATTCACGATAGAAAAGTTAAACGGATGAAAAAAATTTCCAATCTAAAATAAAATACAAAAGTAAATTTTATTTAACTTAAATATCTAAAGCTTACATTTAAAATTATGTAAGATTTTTGTGGGAGGAGGACAAAATCCTCATTGGGCAAAAGCACGTGTAGGGTACATGTAATTTTTTCCAATGTAGATTGTCGTGATGTTCAAGATACTCCATTTTTGTGCAGTTCAAGATATTCCACTACCATGTTCTTGTTTCAAACACCAGTTCAAGAGCAAAGCTCACATTCTATGACAAGAAGAATGGAACACCTAAGAACAAGGCAGGACACATATTACAACATACTATGAGTAAATACACTGGCTTCTAATAGTTAAGTACATTATGAAAATTAGCAATTTTCATAGTCAGTTTGAGAGGCTGAAAATTGCTGTGGATGCAGTTCGCCGTATGCAAATATCGTATGTTAGTCAATTGCTATTGACTATTGAAACATATGCTAATTAAGCAGCGATTGAAGATGAGTGTTAATTTTTCTAGGATGATTTTTGATGATGTTTGTGATTTTATGGCTGAAGAAGATTAATGGCACATGGTGACTGCTGCTTTGCTGTCAGACACATTAAAGCAGAGCAACCTATCAAAAATGTCACAAAAATTCCAAACAAGTTAAATAGTTGGAGACCTGTGCCCTGTCTACCAAGAGTTACCACCATCCCTTCTGAAGATATTGCTATAGTAGCCAAGCCGTTGGTATATTATATCATAGTAGCCAAGTCAGTGAGCAACCTCTGCAACTGTTGCATCCATGTAGCAGTGTCACTTGGTAAGAAAATATCAGCCAGTGCTGTATGCAGAAGGTCATCAACATATTGTTTGATTGCCTCAAATTATTGCAACATCCATTCCATAGACAAGTCCAGATTTACCCTGGAATAAGAATAGTATGAAGAGAATTAAGCACACATATTCAGGCCCGTAATTGAACATCATGCATTTAGAGGTGGCAGCATCATCTCACTGCCTGGAATTTCAACTGGTTATCGCATCTAGCTGCACTTGTTTAAATACTTTTCTGTGACGACTACGCATAACAAGATGAAAGCATACACCTTCATTGCGAGACTGTACACTGTAACAATTAAACTCAATTTCCTCTTTATGGATGAAATTGAATGTCCTTATCGAGCCAACATTGTTGACGAGTGCCTAGAGAGTGAGAGGCATTCTTAGACATTTGAAATTATCCTAATAAAAGAATGACCTACTAGCATCTATAATCACCTCATTAAAAATATGAGCAATTGTTATAAAAGTTTTGCGAACATCCAGGGTGGCTACTACTTTATCATTATAAGTTTTGTATGTTGTTTTAAGCTTTAAACATCACTCTAATTTGTCATCATATATTTTATGAAAATTAAATATTGTTTTTGTCTTAAACACATTAAACTAAAACACATTAAATGTACTAACATTTTCTGTCATACATAAACATATTTGCTACTGTTATCGTCGTAAACACATTAAACATACTAACATTTTCTTTCATGCATAAACATATTTGCTACTATTTTATGCTAATTAAAGCTCTACTTTCCCATTATTGTTGATTGATTTACCTTTACTTCATTATCTTTTGGAAGCCAGTGTGTTAAAATCTGTTTCATAATTAACACATTTCATCAATAAAAAGGGACTGTTTCACATATTTTTCTGCGAATTTTGGATTTTAAATACTGACTTTTTTATATGTGGTGAGCAAGGTACACCAGAACACTATTTAACAAGCTGCCGAATAACAGAAAGGCTTGATATAAAATTTAAAAACAGCAATCCATAGGCATATAGCAGATATCTATATGTGTCATCAGCTCCTTTCAAAATGTTAATGAAGCTATTTTTTATTCATTATTCTTTTTGGCTGTATATCAAGAAAGTTATATAAATAAAGCTCCATAGGTAGGATGTAAAGAGAAGGGAGGGAGAACAATGTTAAAATTATCTTATTCTTTTTTATAATTGACTCTGGTTTCCTTAACCGAAAAACAAGTAAAGATTTTCTTTATTAATAAAAGATTTTTGTTAGATTAAAATAATTTATTATGATATTGCTATTAAAATTGTTTTATTGAATTACATTTAGGAAATTTATATCATCATGGCCATTTGTCTCGAGCGGTTTGCTGTAGGCTTGTCGGAGAACCCGATTTGAACGAGCTCCTTCCAGAAGGGTACCGCTTGAACCATCCGGATCTGGGCCGAGTGATCGTGTGCACGCCTTCGCGTGAGACCGAGAAAACCAAGCCCCACAGCATCAATTGGTGCCACGAGGATGAACGACCGGAGTTGACAAGCGGTGTTAATGGTACCTCTGATGAAAGGTGTGAAATTAATATATTTTGCCTAAAAATTTTACACAGTAATTCATGTGTATGCACATTATACATGCAAATGCTTGAAAATTATTATCTAGTATATGAATATGTTATATGTAAAAGTTTAATGTTTGTTGTATGAATAGTACAGTTCATAGTTATTGTAATATTATGCCAAAATATGCGAGATCATTGGGATCACTGAGTTTTAAGATGTATACCAAGTTGTGCTTTGTCAAAAATGAGGATAATTGTGGCATGACAAATTTACATGCCAAGAAAAGGAATATATTTCAGAACATAAAACCCTTAAAATAGAAATAATGAAAAGTCTGGAAGAATTGCTGCGTTATGCAGAAAGTAAATAAATGTTCTGAAATATTATTTTTTTTCTTTTATAGTAAGAGCATAAAAACTAAATATTCCCAATTTTATTATCATTTTTATGGTCATATTTGCATTTATTTTGTAATTTTGAGTCTTGACTACAAATATCTTGATTTCTCATAAAACTCAAGTAGTAATAAGTTTTATACCAGCATATATCTCTTCCTTTAAAAACAGAATTAGAAAAAGGAATTTTTGTTTAAATATTCTTAAGGAATTGGTCTTTGTTTTTGAGAATTTGAAAATAGACTAAATGGCATTAAAATAGAGAAATTAAAATAAGCATATATTCTTGATATGAATGTATGTTAATCTGTAAAATCTTATAATAAGTAATTTAAACAATATTTTGGTGTGGTAAACTTTTGCTTACTTTTATTAAAATAATGATGGTTCTTCTAAAGTTCGTAATTTTTCTTTTATTGCATGGATCATCTTAAACATGCATGATAAATAATAGTTAGTTATACTTGGCCAACGACTTAAAGAAGTTACAGAAAAGGAAAGTATTTATAATTTTAATGAATCTAGCTATTGTAATTTCATGGGACCAGCTAGAAACTAATAATCTAAATGGATCTATGTTTGATCTTCAGTCACTTAATTTAAATAATTAATAACACAATAAATTTGAAAGAAAAGTTAAACATCTTCTGCTTCACCAAGTAGTAGTAAACTGCACATGGAAGATAAAAATATTTTATTTTGGGCAATAGCAACACATTTCTTTTAAATTCATGAGTTCTTTTGTTAAGTTTAAAAGATAAGTATCATATGTTTTGCTGAGTGGCAACTTTCTTTTATATCACTGAATTTTCTCCTTAAATTTGAAACATAGATATCTTACACCTTTCCAAGTGGCAATGCAAAACTTATATAGCTGGGTTTTTGATCAAGTTCTTAAATCTGCACAAAATATGAAGTGAATAATAATAACAAAACAACAACAACAACAACAAAAAAAAATCGCTTGTATTTTTCATGCAAAATTTGTGATTTGTTGCCTATGTTTTTAAAGTGAGACATGGCATTGTCATTGAAAATGTTTATATGGTACCTTGCATGAAAATTTGCTCAATTTTGAACAAATTTGTGGATTAGAGAATGAAAGATTTTTTTTTCTCTCTTTCTCCTGAAGATATTTCATTAATGATTGTCTTTTGTTGCTGCTTTTGAAGTTACTGTACTTTCTTATTGAACTTATTTTTATGGTACTCTAGTAACTTTTCCACATCTTCATTTTTAACTTCCTAAGCGATGATTTTGCCAGAGGCATATTAAATCATAGGTACAAGGTGATATGTATTTTGGTCTGTGTCTGCAACCTAGTCTAGTCATAATATCATTCAGGCCATATTCATGGTATTGTTGAGTCACTTACGTCAAGTTTTGTTAATGAGAGTTAAGCAATTGGAAATATGAAAATGATATTTCCAGAAAGCCCTGAATGTTAATTATGTTGCATAGGTTACCTTACAATAGCTTTAAAAAATAATATGCTGCCTTGTTGTGTGTTCATAACTCGAGACACAGTTCATCATTTAAGGCCCTTTTTGTTTAGTAATTTGTTAGTCTTCCAAGGTTTAACTATGGTTAAAATAAAATAGCATTGAAGTTTTTTAATTTACAATTATGTATATATAAACTTGTAACTATGCCCTCTCCATATCTACAGATTTAGTACCTGCAGTTCAGAAAAGCAAAAGTTAAAAAAAAAAAAAAAAAAAAAAAAAAAAAAAAATATGCTGTAAGTTTTATAATAACGAAAATTGCTGTAAATTTCATAATTTATAAATTTTGAAATGCAAATGAAGTGACAATAATGCATACTGTAAATGAAATAATTACCCTAAACTCAAAACTGCTGCCTTTTCTTTTTCATATATGCACATTTTGTTTTTAGTCAATGTAACAAAATACTGAGAGTGGAAATGTTTTGTGAAGAAGCCTGTGTTTATTCTCAGGTTACAGGAAATCTTTCAAACAGGGAGTTCGTGCTACAACTGGGTGTTTATAAATATGTCGGCTAGGAATCTTGTCTGTAAGAGACCTGATAGTATTTGCCTTATCTTAATTTCTGTAAAACTTTTTCCACCCTTGTTTCTAGCATTTGTTATATTTTCATTACAATATACATATGTTACTGCAGCTCTCTTACTGCTCAAGTTCTTATTTACTGCAACACAGATCCCAAGCAAAAGGATCTTGATGCTTTGACTGATGTTATGATGTTATAAATACTTTTGATGTGGTTTTAGTGAAAATGAATGATTCTTATTTCTGCAATCTTTATAACAGATTTTGTACAGTAGGTTGAAGAAAAAATTGAATAATTAAAATACACTAACCTTCAAAAGTTGTGTATTGATTAATATATCACTCTAGGAGTTTTTTCAAAATTTTTTTTACTTCATTTTCATTTCATGTAAGAACTTTGAAATTTTGAAATGGTGTGGTTAAAGAACGAAATTTTCAAAAATTTTCGGCTGGAAACAAATTACTTCTCAAAAATTTTTATTGACTAAAATGTTATTTGTGAAATTTTCAAAATTTTTTACCACGTCTTTATTGCCCGAAAAGCATTTAAATTTTGTTTTGGTGCTGCAAAATTGAGAATTTTCTGTAAATATATGTATATTTTTAAATTAATGACTCTGTTGAAGGGCTTACTTAATAAAAATATAACTATTTGTTGGTTCAGTGAATCGCTCAGAACAATCCACGAGGAGGTGCTTGTATAGTAAGTTCCACTTGTGCTCATACCAACCACCCTACTTTTGGGCCCTCTGTCCCTAGTCACTCATAGCCCTGAATTCAGGCTTAGTTTCAAAAATGGGCATAATTGACCTGTCCAAAACTTTTGCTCTGATTATTTCATCTCGAGCTCTAAACCCACATACTTGTTCAGAAACACTCATAGCAACTTTAACATCTCAACCCACTGGATATGGCATAGGAAGTAGAAAGTGCATGGAAGAACTGGGAACACTTTCTTGATGCACTCCTTCAAATCTTTGCTCAATAAAAATATAACTATTTGCTGGTTCAGTGAATCACTCAGAACAATCCATCAGAACAATCCATCATGAAGACGCCTTTTGCTGATTGAGTTGACATGTATTGTGTAGGAGAACAGGTAATGAACTGACCTACTGAGCAGTGTGACAAGACCTGACAGCATGTCCTTGCACAACAGGAAACTGAATGAGGCACCATGCGTGATAAAAGATGTGGTTCTGTAATTTATTAATGCTGCCACTTGATGTAGTATTGTGCATTGACGTTGAATTCTGGATCTTGAATTTGTGTACTGGCAGGGGTTTCTCCTTCAACCTTGACATCATGAATTCTTTGCACTACTTTCAAATGTTCTGTTCATCTGCAAGCATAACTACTAGCAGATTCTACGGATATTCACTGTAACCATTTCGCTGATTGTAACCACCCATCATGTCCTTCAATTTATCATTGAGGTACGGAAAGAACAAAAGTATGCCATATGTTAATGGAAACGTCCTGTTGAAGTCATCTCCTTGAAGGTGGCTGATGGATTAGTGCTGCATAAAGGACTGTGTTGCCCATAGTGAGCCATTTTGCATTAGAAGTTTCCTAAGACTTTGCGTTGCCAGATTTGTTGAGCATTTAACATCAGCTCAGCTTATATCCCACAGATATTTTTAACCATACTGAGATTTAAAGCATTATCTTCCATGGTTGGGAAATTTCTCTCAACTGATTGAATATTGGTTGCTTAGAGGTACCGACAGTCGACCGAGCTCTTGCCTATAGGTCCATAAAGTGAATGAGAACTCACTCTCAGTCTATCCAGATGACTTACCATGTGCCTGTGCTTGTGCCTTAGCGGTAGATCATTGGAAAGAAGCTGCCATATCACCCCTGCAAATATTTCTGAAACTTTTTTCTTGTAAACAAATGACACCTAGTGAGTTTCCTGTTTTCACTGCAGTTCTGTTCCATCTAACCGCTATAATTTGGGATGCATCAAAGTTTTCATCATTTGGAAAAGTCAATATAGCTTCCTTGATTCTTCTTTGACTGCCCTGAATTATCCTTTTATAGCTGAATCCAGTTGTAACACCTAACACATCTTTTTTGTGTGGACAGTATATTACAGCTAACATCTCTACCAGGAATGGGGCATTTCACTTTGTGTCTAGTTGAAGACGCCTTTTGCTGATTGAGTTGACATGTATTGTGTAGGAGAGCAGGTAATGAACTGACCTACTGAACAGTGCGACAAGACCCGACAGCACGTCTTCGCACAACAGGAAACTGGATGAGGCACCATGCTTGCTCATACAATCTGTCAGTTCATTGCCAGCTTGCTCCCACCAAATCAGCTTTTATTTTATAATAAAATTTAAGTCGTATGAATTTTATGATGTAACAATTTAAATTTTATGTTTCATTTTTAAGTTAATAGTAATTTCTTTGAAAACATGCAAAGTATTTTACAGTTTTTTGCGGAGGTTAAAAGGGAAATGTTTACAGCAATTTGCATAATGCATTACCATCTTGCTGCTGTATGTCCACAGTATTACTATGAAAAATTCATAATGAAATATTTTACTATAAAGTGGAAATTAAATTTAAAGATTTTAAATTTCAAGTCTCTTACAGGAATTACAAATAGTAAAAAATTTTGAAAAAATTCATGTCTGATATGTTAGTCAATATGTTACTTTTGAGAGGTAGTTCATTTTCATCGGACAGTTATTGAAAATTCTTTGTTTTACCATACCATTACAAAATTGCAACCTTCTTGTAATGCTTACAATTAAGATGAAGTAGAAAAGTTTTGACTCATAAAGTAATAAATTTATAAGGGATATTCATAGTTTGTACAGTCTTACAGTGCATAAAAGTACACAAATCTTAAGGGTTTCCGGAAACAATTTTTGGTCCTTTAAAGTCCCTAATTTTGGCCATAACCAGGAAAATTTCTGTAATTTTCCTCATCTGAATTGCAATTTTGAGTGGGAATTAACATTTTGGAGGAATATTTTTTTGAGATACATTGATAAATATGTATTTGATTTGTTAACGTTTTAATTTTTTCTTACTTTGTAATATAAATGAGACCGTGCCTTGATAGAAACAAATATTTCAAATTAATTTCTTTTCTGAGAATGAAGAGTTTATAAGACGTTACATTAAAAACAACTTTTCTTTTTTTGAGATACGAGTTCTTTTATTACGCAGCATGAAATTTGGTGACATATCAACATTTTGGCAAGTTCAAGATCAGTTGGTATACGAAATTTTTTATTATGTCATTTGTGAAATTTTGATTTTTTTTACAAATATTGATAAATATAAAAATAATGATAATATATTAAAATTATAGGTACTTTCTCAAATATATAATTATAGGTTCTTTCTCAAAAATTTAATCTCATGTAACATGTAGCAAGGTATAAGAACGCACTGCAAGATATTTTGATTGATTAGCGATTCAGTCTTGGAGCCTGTTGTGATAAGGAAGTACCGAATTATATTGGAGAAACAGCATAAAAATGAAACATTTTTATTTTCTCCTGCCATATATTAAAGTGATATTACATCTTTATCTTCCTTTTATTTTCTTATCTTTCAACTAGACGCAAGCTTTAAAGCGTGCAAAGAAAGCAAAGAAATAAGAAATTAAAAACTGACAATTTATTAAAAATTAAATCATTATATGTCACCATGCATACCTTAATGCCTACCTTATATTTTATTGCTCAGTGCTTCACTAAATTCTAAAAATTCTGTGAGACTGGCTCTGGTACTGGCTTTGACTTATATAATTTCATTTTTATTCTCAATACTTATGTTATTAAAGAAATAAAATTAGCAGTTCCTTCTGTGCATTCTAAGTACAAGCAATTCTTTAGAATAACAGAAATCTTTAATTAAATCTGAAAATGCTAAAATGGAGAGGAAATTCATTGGAAAAAAATTGATTTTATAAAGAAGAGAAAATTATTCCTCAAAGGTGCATTGTTGAAACATTAACAAATTGCAGAGATTAATGGGAATTTTGATTTGTTTATTGAAACAAATAAACTTAGACACTAAAGAGGAGTATTCTGATGTAAATTTGCTAAAATATCTAAGTAATTTTCAAATTAAAAAGATGCATAAACATTTTGTTTGTTGTTGCTATAAAACATAAATGTTTTATAGCTTTTGATATATAGTTATACTAATATAATTTTAGAATCAGTATTATAAATTAATAAGTGCTGTAAAATGTCCTCAGTGCTTTTTAATAACTGTTTTTTTAGAAGTTAAAAAAAAAAAAAAAAAAAAATCTTATTGTAACCATTCAAACCTGTTGTAACTAAGAGTATCTAACTGTATAATTTAAATATTTGCTCACCTATAAACTGCTCACCCTAAGAAGTTATATCCTGTGGAATTACTTAATACAAAGATACAATACAAAAATGTAAAAATTAACATAAAACTTTATTCTTTATAGCTAAAAAGACTTAAAATAATGTAAAACAGCCTATAACTTCTAGTGTTTCATTGGCTTATTGCAGCTTTACGTTAAATACTGCATATTAACTGGATTATAGCTCCAGCAAATCTATGCTAATCTATAACATTAACGTGTCAAAATGCAGCTAACTTTCAACACTTACGAACATCATCCATTCATGTCTGTTTACCAACAGTACCAATGTCATGTGTTCACATCTGTTCTGATCAGCAGCTCTTTGTCTGTAAGCAAGCAGCTGTAGAGGCTACAGCCAAAATTTTGTTATGAGTCATGCTGATTATTATTTTATTTCACAATTAAACTAATTTAACTCGATCACTTGACATAAAATTTGGATATACTTCTGCACTGAGCAAATGTATGATGAAATGAGGAATGAAAGAATCAATATAATGCTAAGTAAAATTTAATAAAAAGCCACTAATCTTTTGTAAAATGTATGGGAAAATTACAAGTGTAAAATATAAATATTTCAAGGAAATTTATAATTTAATGCTAATTACTTAAAAAGGTTTATGAAGTTAATTTTATTCTTGAAATTGTTTTGTAATTAAGTTAAATATTAGATTATATTTAATAATAATACATCCTACTTAGATTTATTTTATTCTTACTAATTACAAAAGTGAAGTTACAAAAGGGGGATAGTTTTTATGTGCAGAAGTGTGTATGAACCCTGATATAAGGTTTTGAGAGGTAGTGTGTTTCAATAACACAAATTTTATTTATTTAATTTATTTTGCTGTGCTTTATTGTATGGTCCCAGAACTGCATTTTTCATTTGTGTTTTGCAGATTATGTTAAAATGTTAGGATCTCTTTTCCCCAACAGATGAAAGAGAGAGTATTTTATTGTGTAATGTATTTCATAATGCTGAATTTAGCACATATTGCCATACTGGGCACATGCAAACAGCATTTCAGATCCTGGATCTGCATCAGTCTCATGGGGCCAACAACACATTTGGGTTTTAACTTGATATATATTTGTTAGTCACTTTTCTAAATGATATGACATATTATGTCAAGTATAACTAATATTACATTGGGACTGCATTGGCTACTTTTGGCGACATATTTTCTCCACTGGACATGGCAGATAAATGTTAGAATAGCAATTTCTGAATGTTAGTTATATCTAGTTAGGCCTATCTAGTTGGCTGACATGTTTTTTCTACTGGACAGGGCAAATAAATGTTACAATAGCAATTTCTGAATGTTAGTTATATCTAGTTAGGCCTTTTGCTGTTTTCTTTAACAACAGTGTTAGTGCAGTAGTATTTTAGTAATAACACAATATATAATATAGTATATGGAATAGTGTGTTACTTTATTTAAAATTGGTTATGCAAGGAATATTCAGAAAGTAAGGAACGTTTTGGAATTAAAAAGAAACTAAGTACAAGGGGGGGGGAATCATAAGCATCAGAAAGATTGACTAAAATTCTACTACTTTTCTATATAGTCACCAAACAAATTGAGGCACTTATCATAGTGGTGGACAAGCTTTGAAATTCCTTCGTCATAGAATTCTGCCGCCTGCGATCTCAGCCACTCAGTGATGCGCACCTGCAGCTCCTTGTCATAGTCAAAGCGCTGTGTTGCTAGCCAGTTCTTCATTCTTGGAAACAAGGGAAAATCAGTAGGTGCAAGATCGGGACTATAGGGCGGATGGAGGAAAAACCTCCCATTTGAATGAATTAAGGAGTTCTTGAGTGCGGCTTGCCGTGTGAGGTCGGACATTGTCGCGCAAAAACAAAATTTTGGGTGTCAACTTTCCTCGGCGCTTGTTTTGAACTGCTCTCCTAAGGTTGCGAAAAGTTTAACAGTACCGCTCAGAGTTTATTGTGGCACCATGTTCGAGAAAATCAATCAGAAGCACATCCCAAAACACAGTCGCCATAATCTTCTTTCGTGACAAGGTTTGCAAACATTTTCTTGGTCTTTTTGGGGGAACTTGTGTGCCCCCACTGCATGGACTGTAATTTTTTCTTGCAATTCACGTGTCTCACCCACATCTCGTCACCAGTTACAATTCGATCCAGTAATGAATCACCATGTCTGTCATAGGCCTCCAGAAATGTCAAAGCTGTCCCCATTCGCTGACCTTTGGTGGTCTGTAAGCTATTTCGGCACCCATCTTGCACAAAATTTGCGGTAGCCTAGCTTTTGTGTGACAATTTCAAACAGCAAAGTCCGTGAAACTTGTGGAAAACTAGGCGAAAGCTCCATTATTGTGAAACGGCGGTTTCCATGAATCTATTCATCAACTTTAGCGACCAATTCGTCTGTCACAATGCTAGGGCGTCCACTCTTCTCTTCATCGTGAATGTTAGTTTGGCCATTTTTAAACTGAATGCACCACTTCACACACTTGCGATAAATTTCCATAGGTTTTAGGTTTATTGCCAACAAAAACCGTATCACAGACCGCACCTCACAACTGGCGGGATTTTCAATAGCAGCGCACATTTTAAATTTGAATATCGGAAAAACGGGCAGCGTGGAAATTTTCCCATTGTGATGGCTGGCCGCCGACTGAGATGCCGAGCATGCAGACACCAAAATATATGTGATCGGTGCGCGCCTAGCGACGTCAGACGGAAACGTTCCTTACTTTCTGAATAGCCTACTTATCTTACATGCATAACCTATAAACTAAATTGATGACTGTAATTATGTATGTTACGTGAATGTCTTGTTTTATATAATGCTAGAAATTATCCATGATTTCACATATCTGCTTCTAAGTAAGTAAGTCTTGGAAGATATTAACATGTGGATACAGGATCATGATTAAGAATTCTATTAAAAAACGCTTCAAAAGGTGTGTAGTGCTTCTGTCGGTTTATAAAGTTAAAATAATTAGAAGATGTGAAGCGATCTTTTATATTTTGAAATTATTTTTTAATAATTGCTTAGGGCTGGAGGTCAGTTGCAGTCACGTTTATGCAAGGCAGTTCTCTTCCAAAGTTTCAAGGAAATTGCTGCCAAATTTGGGGTCGAACATCTCTCTAACCTTACCTACGGCGAAGCGAAAAGAGCAGCCAAAGATTTTCAAGCAGCCAAAGAGGTGCTATTTAACAGATTTCAACAGCTTGGACGCGGCACTTGGATCCGCAAGCCTGAAGAAGAGGAAGAGTTTATGTAATCCTGCTGTTTAGCATTTAATTCCAGTTGTTAATTATATCTTAAAGAACCTTAGTCTTGAAATTTAATAATCAATAGGCTACAATCAGTATGTAATATTAACTCGAGATCTCATAGTTTTTAGAATGTACAGTTTAAAGCAGGAAGTATTTCCTTGAATAAATGGATTTCAATTTATATATATATATATATATATACATATAAAAAGATTTGAATTTAAAAAGAATGTCTGTTATTTTGTGCCATTCTCAGTATTCTGAGGTTTTGCTTTTGTTGTATCATGTGTTTAGATTTTTAGATAGTTGTATTAGTATATATTTTATGTTCCTAAAAAGTAATAATTTTAGGGTTTGTGGCCAAAACTTAATGGAAATAGCAGACTGAATTTCTGAGGATGTAAATCTCATAGCTTGATAGATTTAAAATTTACTGCACATCTTCTATCCACCAATGAAACTCTTTTATTCTGATTTAACCTCTTGAGACATATTGCTCTCTAGATACATTTCAAACATGAATCTTCATCTGCCCTGGGCAGTTTTTAAACTATTTACTTTGTTAAGTAGTTCGTAGCAATCTCATGTTCTCAACTTCCTTAGGTGAAGATATCCTATCAATGTATGTACAAGATCCAATCTATCCAATCTATGTACAAGAATATATATATATCTATATATATATTTCTTCTGTCTCACTTTGTCTAATTGCATTTGAATGGTTTTGAAAAGATGGCTTTTTCTGAAGTAATAAAATTAATGAGATTTTTTGATTGAGTAATGATTTTCTGTGTTTTGTTTTTTGTGTGTAAAATTTTGCTTTTTTTTTTTTTTTCCCCCTTGTGATCACTAATTTCTGTAATCAGTTGCTGAAATTTACTTTTTTATAACCTTTTGCTCAATTAGAAAATTTAATCTTCCATGTAAAAGTTAATGGAAATATTTTTCTATGAGTTATTAAATTCGAATCTATAAACTTTGAATCCATGTAATGACATAAGTGCAGGTGAGAAGTTAACATCATAAACTCTCATGTACCTCTTGAATTTGAGTCCAGAAATATGCAAGATATTAAGCATTAAACTGTGATAAAAAAATAAATCGGCATTTTAGGTACTGTCAATATGGCGATGCCAAAGTTTCCTAATTCATCTAATAAGGAAGTTTTCAAATTATTGTACATCCATGTTGATGCAGAAATGATGTATGTGTGTAGTGTGCAAACTTGTCAAAGTGGATACTTGTATTGTTGTTTTTGTGAATTTCTTAAACGTCCCTTCTGTAATTTAGTACCATATATATGAAATTGTGTAAATAGTCAAAATGTGTTTGTCTGTGAACTGTCAAGTAAGTGTATGTCTAAAATCTGTATGAAATCAGTGCAGCTTGCAATTATTGGAGTTTGATGAGGATTGTAGATGAGAGCATTTTATAGACTTTTCCCTTGTGAGTCAACATGCTTGGTATAACTGAGTTATGTTTTGGAAGGAATCTATTACCATAGAGATTTTATGATGCACTTTCAGCTGCAGAATTCAATATAGGGGCTGAGTATTCACTGTTAAATGTTAGCCTAACATTTAACTGTGATAATCATCAATATTTCTGAACTCTAGCCACATTAATAGGAATTAAAAACCTTTGTGATTTTCTATATGTTACTGTATAGTTAAGTTTGAAGGCTAGAAACTCACCTTAAGTGTTTTATTAATAGGAAGATGATTTTTGATATTGCCATTTCCCCATTTGAAACACGTTGCACATACTGAGTTATCTCTACAGGTTAATACTTTTCTGTACTTTGTGTAAAGTATTGTGAATACAAATCATCCTTTGGGTAAAGTCTCTAGAACAAATATCGTCATTTTGTGTTCTCCTTTCACTCCAGCATGTGTATTGTAATTTTATATGCAACAGCAAGGCTGTTTGTAAATTAATTTTAATTTTTTTGTTATTGCTATTTATGTTTGAGAGCTTATGTTTATAAAATTTTCAAACAAGATGTACTCTTGATGGTCATTTGATAGTCATAAATTCCATTGTTATTTATTTTAGTGTTTTAAATATTGCTTATTATTTTGTTACTTTTTGTTTATTTTATATATGTTTTGTAAAGTTTCATGACACAAACTGAATTATTATCTACATGCCATAGTATAAGTTAGAAAACATTAATTTTCAGTATTAAAATATTTTTATTATATTAGCTATTATACTCAACAAAATTTCTATATATTTGTTTTGTTCCTATAAAGTCTGAGTGAAATATTTGTTGGTTTGTATTTTTTATTTGTATTTTTATGTATTTGTATATCATTAATCAGTTTATCTCTTTCAGTTTGAAATGTCTTTTAACGCACAGTTTTAGGAAGGCACTAATTTGATCTAGTTTGCATGAATATTGAATCATTTTACATTAGTCTTAGTAGTCTTCCACTTTATTTGCTTACTTAAAGCATTGGAAAGCAAATATTTCTTAGGGCTTCTTCTTTTGCCTTATGATTTAAGTTTTCTGCAATGAAAAAAAAAAAAAAAAAAAAGAAGAAGAAGATATATTTGCATGCATTTAATTTTTTGCTTTTTATTCAAAGTGCATTTATTGAATCATTTTTAGCAATTTATTTATGTTCTTAATGAATAGTAACCTCTTTGTCCTAATATGTTTTTTAAATGATTTAAGTATTTCCCACCAACATAACTTCTTACAGTTTGCAGTTTTGTTAATTACTTTGTCTAGAGCCATCATATTATGCTTTAAAAATATTATAATTGCATGAATGGAGTATTTATATCTCTCTGTAGTTTTGTTTCACCTCATCTGTCTTAGCCATAGTAAATGAGTTAAAAAGAAAAAGCACAGTGAAATTTAATCAATGTATTCTTTACAGAACTTAAAGAGCAAGTTATAGCATATGTCCTGTAAGAGAAAATCTTTACAATACATCTGTAGTAATTATACCAAACTCTTATAGTTCTTAAAAATACTGTTGTGTAGATAATACATTTGCCTAACAAAGTTGCATTATAGTTTACTGTAGAAAATTTTGTAGTCTTTTTTTAATAAAAAGATATGTACCAAATGTATTTTGTATGCTTCATTATACTTACTAGTATTTTTTTTTAGCACTAAGTTGAACTTCAGCCCATGTCATTAAGGATTTGCAGTACTGGAAGGGATTTAAAAAATACTTATTTAAGAAACAGTACTTTTCTTTTCATATATAGTAACCATTTTTCTTTTCCTTTCCCCTTATTCTGAATGCAGGAAAATTTAACAAATATGTCAATATTCATGTACTTTAAAGATTGTTTAAATTCATCCAGAATCATGATTTTAACACTTGCTGATTGAAATAACATTTTAATTAATTAGAATACCATTTTAAAGTCATTAAGTGAATTTTCCTTGTAATGAAGTTTTGTTTTGCTCAGGAACATGGAACAAAGAGGAAAAATTATTTTAAAATGGGGTTTTATGTGAATATTTCACCTCAGCACCAGTTTTCAGTTTATATATGAACCTCTTTTCTTTCTTCCCCCCTCTCCCCACCTTTTCTTTCTTTCTTTCTTTCTTTTTTTTTTTTTTTTTTAATGCGATGAAATATTTTCGAAAGATTGTTGATTATAGTAATATTTATATCTGTTTTCGTTGGTAAGCACATGCACTAATGAGTAAAAAAATTTAAACAACATTAAAAATGTAATTTTTTGGTGTGTTAAAAAGGTTTCTAAAAATTCTAATTAATTCTAAAAAGGTTTGCATCATTAATGCACACCTTTTTAGAATATTAAGTTAATTATTGCATCTTCTTTTTTGTTGCTGTTGTTGGGTATTTTATCATTACTATGACCAAGGCTGATATCATAGACAAAATAAATTGTTTAAAATGCAATCTAATAAAATACTTATGCTTTGGAATTTTTTTCATTATTGCAAAAGATTAGTGATTTAACTTATCTTCTAACTCTTGACTGTAATTTTTTTAACTAAATATTGATCTGAAAAATTTAGTTCTTAATACATACTTTTATATGGAGTATTAAAAATATTGATGGCCATCTGTGGCTGTGGCGCAGCAAAGTATTAAAAGTGGCATGCGGAAGCTTATTGAAAAATTAAAAAATTTGAAAAAATAATGTCATCTTCAGGAACTTTGTCAAAATCTGTAAAAACCTTCCTCTTATACTGCTGAATACATTGCCAGAAAGCAGCACTGCTTCACACCTGTACAGCAATGTGGTAAGATAGTGTGGTCATGGAACCAGCCTAATGATTTAAGTTGATTTGCTTTAGCTCCATTGTGTCTTGCTCTGGCTGTCCATTTTCGAGCAAGAGTGGCACTCTGGTTGTTTGGTTCAGATGATTTTAAACTGCCGAGCAAGACATTATACTGTTTTTAAACTGCTTTTTGGCATTGAGCGTCATTGTTTTAAAAATTTTATGCTCATTTATGCCCATGAGTAAGCATTCAACGTCAAAAAGAAAATATAAAGAGGATACTGCAATTTTAAAACTGTCTGTAAAGAACAATTTTTATTTACACTTCAAAATCTTTCGAAGCCAAAAAGGTTTGATATGTGGAATTTGTGTAGTAGTGCTCCAAAAATTTAACCTGGGCTGATATTTCAAACAACTGCATAGTGATTTCAATAACAAATATTGTGTCGGATCACACGAATGAAATTTATTAATAAAAAAAATCTTTAGCAGGCCAGCAATCCTTGTTCCTCTGAAGTGAAATGACAAAATGGAAGCTATGATGAAGACTTCTTATGAACTTTCTATCTTGTTAGCCTGAAAAAAAAAAAAAAAAAAAAAAAAAAAAAACTATTCTGACAGTGAGGGGAATAAAATGTAGGCTTTTATTGTCTGCCTAAGACATCATTGATGTTAAAAATTTGGTTGATAAAGTAACTTATGTCTACAAATGCTGTCATGTATCATATAGATGACATGGGCTAGGATGTTGACATGCAAATGTTCTCAAGACTGTACTATTGCAAATACTTTTCATTAACTTGGATAAAAGCTGTGCCATCACAGACAATGCACAGTTAAGCATATTTGTATATTATACAAACGAAAATTTTGATATTGTTCTAGAACTTGATTTGTGCTAGCCGGTTTTCTTCACAGATGAGGACAGTTCTAAAGAATTTAAAAGTACAAGTGAAGTTAACAAAGTACTGTGAATTAGTGTTTGCAGAGATAGGATGTTTTGCATGGTTGGCATGGTAAAGTTTTGTTACATTGCTTGAAAATTATTTGGGAAGTTTTGTAAGTAAGTATCATTGTATTATCTATAAAAAAGCTCTTTTTGCCAAGGATTCAAAACCTGTCTTCTGTTGTTGACCCCGTAACATGCTGTATCAACAAAATACAAGCTTTAGCTCTGAATTGATAGACAGTTTTGGGAGCTTTTCTCGGAAGAGGATAGCGAGTTACTTCTTTATTGTAGTGTGTGCTGCTTTCCGAAGGAAGTGCACTCATGAGGTTTTGGAATTTGACAGAATGTGTTTTAAAATATCTGGAAGAAAACAGTGAACTGCTCAGTGAGTGCTTATTATTCAAGAATGAAGATTGGGAATGGGATTTAGCTTTTTTCATCGATATTATGTAAAATTAAAATAATTTAAGATTACAGGGAAAAGATTGTATTTTTCCTACCCTAGTTGTTCATGTTTTTTTTTTTTTTTTTTTTTTTTTTTTAAATTTATTGTTTCAATTTTGGAGGAAAAAGATTAACACATTTCTTATTAATGCAAGAATTAGCTAACAGAGTCAATAATGTTCCAAACTGTGATAGATTTAAAAATGTAATATCCATTTTGCATGATTCATTCAGTGCTAGATTTGGTGATTTTCAAATTGATTAAAAAAACATGATCCTTTCTCACTTTCTCTGCAAGATGTTACTTGTTACCTACCTGAAATCCAAACTAAAATTACTGACCTACTGCACTGAAAAGTAAATATAAAGAACTTAATTTCAACTGCAAGTGATCCAAATTGTATTGAATTTTGAAAATTTGTACCAACGAGCAATTTTTCAAATTTACATGATTTAGCTTTCATATTGTTGTAGGTTTGGATCAACATTTGGTTATTTGTGAACAAATGTGTTCTATAATTAGCATAAGCAAAATATCCTTCAACATTAACTAATATGCACCTAAAACACCTAATTTTGTTAGCATCTTCAAGAACTAATATATATAGATGACTTGGTAAAAAAGCAAATCCAAAAGCCACATTATGTACTGACTGTTTAATAATTATTTAAAAATTAAATGTTTCAAGTTATTCATTTTTATTTTATACATAACCTAACAGGCTGAACCTTTAAAAATGTTTATTAGCAATAAACCCTAAATTTGTACTTTTGTTTTATTTATTATATTGTTTTTTAAATCTCCACTGCTCAGACTTACATGAAAAAAAAAAAAAAAAAAAAAAAAAAAAAAAAAATGCTGTTTGTGTAAAAATTCCATAATTAGCTTATAAATAATAAATAGCATGTTGGAAAAGTTGGAAGTTGCATCTTTTTTTTTTTTTTTTTTTTTTTTTTTGAAGATAGTGGCTCTCTTTCCAAAGGGTTTGCCACCCCTAATAAAAAAAAAATGAATCCTTTATTACAAATATGAATAATAATTCATAAATATACCAAAAAAGGTGATTTTGCTAAAATGTATGTACATTTATTACTGTAATTTTATTGTGAATGTTCATTATTAATAAGAAGGGTTGATTATCGCCTCCTATTTATCGAAATATCTGATATACTTTGTAGATCATGAATTAATTACAGTTTCAAGTAGAAAACTGTATTTTAATAAATAAAAAACAAATCTCTGACATGAAGTTAATACATTGCTATTGGTATTTTCATAGTTTTCGTAATATAAATTTAGTAGTAAATGAAAGTAAAGGGATTTTATTTTTTGCCTTCTAATAAATTAATCTCGTTAATATTTTTTACCTTAATGAATTAAAAGGAAATGTTCTAATTATGATGTTAAATAAAACATTTTTTTTAATGCTACCAATACAACTTTATTTAAATTTTGTGTTTTTATGAATTTTCGAAAGATTTTTGCATGTCAGTTGAGTAATGTTTTGCAAACCTTTTTAAATGCATACTAATGCTACTTAACATTTTAGAGTATGAATAGACTATTACCATAAAAGGTAATATAATTGTTTCAGGTAACGGAGCTCATATATAACTGTTCTGAGTAAGATTTATATTGCAAAAGTAATATATTAATAGCTAAATAAGAAGGAAATTTTCTTACATAAATTTCAAGAATTTTACCTCATTTTTTTATAATACGTCTTAAGAACATGCTTTGAAATTATTTCTAAGTATGTGTGTTAGCACTCTTATAGTTGAAATTTAAAAGAAACATTGTATTTTTCATTTTCCATGCAACAAAAGGGTGCAAGGTTAAATCAATGAAGTATTAAATTGGCAACTGTATCAAATTGTCTAAATGTAAATTTTATAGATTTATGATTGTTATATCATATCTTAAAAGA